TGGCCACTCTTGGGGGACCCCATGTGGTGCTGGGGATTGAACCTGGGCCGGCCACCTAAGGCACATAAGACGGGATGTGTGTGCGCGTAAGTGCACACGTGTGTGTGTGTGCTTGTGTGAACGTGAACTCTGGGAGGTGCGCTTTGGGAAGTCTGGCTCTGTCGTTTCTCCAGTTTCTCTTTCTGCCTTTTTTCGCTTTGTGTAGAACTCACAGGGTGCTTATATTTGGGGTTCCCATAGGCCTGATGGGGTACCACAGGCTTCTGAGGCTTGGTTTTTTTTTTTTGGTTGTTGTTGTTCTTTGATTTTGGGGCCATACCCAGCCCTGCTCAGGGATTCCTTTTGGCTCTGTGCTCGGGTCTCACGCCCGGTAGCGTCTGGGGGAAAGGGGGAACAGTGTATGGATCTGGGGGTTGAACCTGGGCCAGCCACGTGCAGCGACTCTCCAGTCCTTGAATCCGTTTTCTTCATTTTTTATTTCTCTTCCTCACACGGATCGATCTTGTTAAGCCCAGGACTGTCCGTTCCGAAGCGGCGAGATGGACAGACAGGAACACGATAATGAAAGAGCAGAAGGAGTTTGACTACTCCAGTATACTGGGGTCAGCTGTCTCAGCCACAGAGTGGTCTCTTGATAGCGACCCCAACCTCAGGCAGCAAGCAGTTCTTGCAGGGTTTGATACGTAAGTGGTACATGCCTTGTTGTTTCAGAAAGAAATCTATCTTAGTTACCAAGCAAAGGTGTTTTGGCAAGTGTCTAGGGTAACAGTGGTCAGGCAATAGTTAAACCAGGGTTTCCAGTAACAGTTCATATGCTACTCATTCTTTTAGGGTTAACAAAAGACAATTTCTGGGGTCTTTTGACTGGGGGCGTAGTGACTGATGGAGCCCACCGTGCTGGGCCCAGGAACTTTCCCAGGTGGGTTCAGGTTGGCCAGTTGCGCATTGTTTCATTGTTTCATTACATTCGTAAGTTGAAACTGTTGCAGTTCCTGTAAGTGAACCTGAGGCCGGGTTGGCTGATTTCTGCGGCTGGTCAGTTTCCCCCATAGAGTCTCAGCGTGTGAAAGCCCAGACATGGGGCTGTGCCTCTACCCGATGTGTGTATGAGTATGTTTATTCAGTGCATCGCACATAGTCCGGGAGATGGTGGAGAGAAGGGGCATTGGGAAGGGAGGAGGCGGCCAGAGGAAGCCGGAGATGAGTCTGAAGGCTGCTGTGGGAAGGACAGCGGGAGCAGAGAGGAGGAGTCATCGTCCCCGAGCACGGGGGTGATAACGGGATCTCTCTGGAGGTGGGGGACCAGCAGGGGGTAAGTGGCAGGCTCCATGGGGGGCCAACGGGAGGGCGAGGATGGCGGTGGCACCCTGTGGTCCTTCAGAGGTGAAGGCCCTCAGGGTCGCGAGCTAGTCGGCACCCGTGTGTGCCCACCCCGCCTGTGCCTGTGGCAGGGTCATTGCGGGTGTGTGGATCCGGTGTGCAGCAGAGGCTGACCAGTGGACGCGGCTTTAAATCAGGCTCTGGACACGTCACTGCTTTTTTTTTTTTTTTAAGCATTTGATTTGACTGAGGTGAAGCCCATCAAGGTGGGACTGGGAGTCCACTCCCTGTGGCCGTGTGTCTGATCCGTGGCAGATGCCTGCAGAGGGGGCTCTGTGCCCTCAGTGCCCGTGCCTGGGAGGTGCCCGGCAGCGGGTGCCTGTGTGGGATTTCCTGCTCTGTGGCTTCCTGGTCTTGCGATTTCCTGGTCTTGTGGCTTCCTTTGAACTCCAGTGTCAACTCTCTCTCTCTCTCTCTCTCTCTCTCTCTCTCTCTCTCTCTCTCTCTCTCATTGTCTTCTGCACCACTGACCACTCTGAGCTGTCAGACAATACTGTTTCTTTACTTATGGTTTGGAGTATACGTTAAAAAGTCGAATTGTCAAACGGTTATGCTGAAAGAGGAAAGTCGGCATTTATCGAACCTTAATACGTCTGTGCCGCTGGAGATATTGCCTGGAGGAGTCAGGTGGTCTGGTCAGTGGGAGTTACATTTCCCTGGTGTTTTGTTGAGTTCCTGTTGGCCATCTTCATGTCTGGGAAAATATCTACTTAAATTTATGGCCCATTTTAAAATGGAATTGCCTTCGTTTTGCCTTTGACTCACAGCAGTTGTTTTTTCCTCTTTGGATGTAAAGTCCCTCTCCGAGAGCCCAGCAAGCTACTGAGAGTATCTCGCCCGCACGGCAGAGCCTGGCAAGCTCCCCGTGACGTATTCGATATGCCAGACACAGTAACAACAAGTCTCACAATGGAGATGTTACTGGGCCCGCTCGAGCAAATCGATGAACAGGAGGATGGGAGGTCGGGAGAACAGGAGGATGCGAAGTCCTTGTCAGATACATAATTTGGAAGCGTTTTCTCCATCTTTTCATTCGTTGAGGAACTTGAAGGGATTTCTGTGAAGGAATTGAAAGACTGAGATGTCCCTGGGAGAGGGGATTTGTCACTTATGGCCCATGTGCCCCAACGTCGGAGGGTCCCAGGCTTCTGGCCCGCACATGAGGGTCTCTGAGAAGGACACCGTGACCTTGACGGCTGCTGCCTGTGCTGCACCTTGCCGTGGGGACTGCATGGGAGTGAATAAAAGGGGCCCCAGGGACCAAGAGGCGGCTCTCAGGGGCTGTGCGAAGGACACTTGGCCCTCAGGCACTTCACCAGCTCTGTGTGTGTGTGTGTGTGTGTGTGTGTGTGTGTGTGTGTGTGTGTGTGGTGTTCTCTGTGGTCTTGGGGTATTAGGCTCTTCTCCCCGGAGTGTGTCCCTCCAGCCCATTTCCGGAGTGAGTCAGGCACTGTGCTCTTGGGGGGTGTTGGTGGGACCAGAAACTCTTCCAGCTCTGCTTCTGGGACTCTGGGTCCGAGGTGGTGAGGGATCCACCTCTACTGTGAAGGTGCTCAGGCACCTACCAAGGGCACCCCTGGGGAGAGTCGTGCCTGTGATGGAGGCCAGCGGGGCAGTGCCCCTCAGGGAGGATGCCTGGTGGTTTGCTAGCTGGTCATTGTCCCGGGGATGGCAGCATCCCCCTTCCTGGAAACTGTGACGTGGACCTGTTGGACGGGGGTGGGGAGGGGCACAGCAGAGAAACAAAGTCAGAAGGAGGCCAGGTCGGAGAAGGTGAGAGGTCATGGTCAGCTGGGGTGAGGGCCGGCCAGGCGAGGACGCGGCAGAGGCCAGCTGCGCCATGAGGTGTGGCTCAGAACTTGGGCGCTGGGTGTGTCTCATCCTGGGCTTATGTCTGTGCATTTACCTGAGTGAGGTGTGTCTGTCTGTGGCCTCATTCACGGAAAGGATCTTTGCTGCTTTCCCCGCTTTGTTCTTGTGTGTAATGTGAGTTGGATCGTGCGTGTATGAGACTGTCGCAAGGATTGTTGGTCTTAGGAGGCAGGATTTAAGTTCCTGGGTAGCGTAGAGAGGAGTTCCGGTGCATTAAAGATTCCTCCCTCAGATGGGGAGGGGATGAGCATGTTTCTGGCTGTGAGCGGACTTCAGCAATTACTGGCGCACAACTGCATTTGAATTTCAGTGTATTTCATAAAAAAAAAATCTGGGGCTATTTATAGTTTAGTTCTTCAGTATTTGTCTTCGCCGCAATTTTGTTGTAGATGATAGAAAATTGTCTTCAGATTCCTATCCTCCTGATGAAACTAAGTTATTCAGCAGACGTAGTGTTGAAAAGACCAATAAGTAGAGTAACCAAGCACGGTGCTGAGTGAAAGAAAATAGAGTAACGCGGATCCCTGTGCTGAGTGAAGGGACAGAGTAACCGGGATCCTTGCCCTGAGTGAAGTAGACAGAGTAATCAGATCTCTGCCCTGAGTAAGGAGACAGAGTAACTGGATCCCTGTCCTGAGTAAGGAGACAGAGTAACTGGATCCCTGTCCTGAGTGAGGGGACAGAGTACTCTTCCTTCCTTTTTTTTTTTAATTTTTTTTATTTTTAATAGTGAGACATCATGAGGTACAGTTACAGACTTACACATTTTTGTGCTTGGGTTTCAGTTATACAATTATCAAGTACCCATCCCTCCACCAGTGCCCATTTCCCACCACCAGGAATCCCAGTGTCCCTCCCAACCCCCATCCCCCCCCTCCCACCCCGCCCCTGTGGCAGGGCATTCCCTTTTGTTCTCTCTCTCCTATTGGGTTCTGTGGTTTGCAAAAGAGGCATTGATTGGCCATCATGTTTGGTCTATAGTCTACGTTCCGCATGCTTCTCCCATCCTGGGAGGATCCTCCCAACACCCTTTACTTGGTGCTCCCTTCTCTATCTGAGCTCCCTTTTCCCCTAGCATGTGTGGTCGGCCTCCAAGCCATGGAGTAAAATTCCTGGTACTAATCTCGGCCATTCTTGGGTGTTAGTCTCCTATTTTGTTACTTTATGTCCCCCAGATGAATGCAATCTTTCTATGTCTATCCCTCTCTTTCTGAGTCATTTCGCTTAACATAATACTTTCCATGTAGTACCACTTGTATGTAAATTTCATGACTTCATCTTTTCTAACAGCTGCATAGTACTCCATCGTGCAGATGTACCAAAGCTTCTTTAACCAGTCATCTGTTCTCGGGCACTCAGGTTTTTTCCAGATTCTGGCTATTGTAAAGAGTGCTGCAATGAACAAACAATTGCAGATGTCACTTTGACTATACTTTTTTGCCTGTCTGGGATATATTCCCAGGGTACTCTTCCTTTCTTTCCTCCTTTGTTCTCTTCCTTTTTCCTCTCATACCTGGCTCTGCTCAGGGCTTACTCCTGCCTCTGTAATTGGGGTCCGTGTGTGGTGCTGGGCATGAAACAAGACAAGTGTCCTGTCCGTCCTCGTCTGACCCTAAAGTCACCCCACTGCAAACCCTGATGCTGTGATATGTCACTTGAGGCCCTTTGGGGATGCTCTTCTCTTTTTTCAAGTTTTAGCCTCTTTCAGCACTTTTGTGTTCAGAGAATCTTCTGTCCTTCCTTTCCAGAAATGACCAGTAGCTGACCGTCTGGCTCCCGTGATTGTCCTTCGTGCTGTTACATCTGCTCAAGGTAGGTACTTAGCCTCGTACCTTAGATGTGGGACTGAGCAAAGTGTCCTCTGGGAAGTGTCTTTTCAGTCCTTACTTGTAGGTACTGTGGTTATTTTAAAAGTCGGTTTTATGACATAGGATTAAAACCAACAGTTGAATATTAAACTATCCAAAAACAGGGCCAGAGGGAAAGTACAGCTCCCCATCACCCTCTCAGGAGTGATCCCTGAGCACCGAACTGGGAGTCAGCCCCGAGCACTGCCATGTACCTCCCCCCTACATACAAAAATCCGCCACCAGTAGTGATTGGGAGGTCACTGATACTCACCTACGAGAAGCCACCCCTGGTGCTCTCTGTTCTCTGCTCTTTGCCAAGGGCCCGCCCCCCATTCCAGGTCCTCCAACCCCCCTTTGATCTCAGCCAGTGAAGGCCATTTGGGCAAAGCCTACAGGGGCTAGGCCCTTGCCTTGCACACAGCTGACCTAGTTCAATCTTCAGCACCACGTTTGGTCCCACGCCTTCCAGGAGTGACCCGTGAGCACAGAGCCAGGAGTAATCCCTGAGACTCAATAAATAGTGGCCATAGAGGCAGCTGGACCCCCCCAGGCTCAGCCATGAGTGCCTCCCCCTTTCTGGGTGCCAGGCCCCTGCACACTCTCGCCCTCTGAGCTTCCTTGCTGTTGGCCTCTTCGCCGTCTGCCTGGTGTCTGTGTACGGGGCTCTGTGTCCTCTATGTGGTTCCCTGTGGCCCACACACGTCACCTCTCAGTGAGCCTCACGCAGGAAGCAGCCGGAGTTAGTGTCACTGGTGTCCAGCGTGCAGCCGGGCTCCCTGCCGCTGCTCTGGGCGGGGGGTCATCCCCAGGGTGGGTTTGGGGTGGCCGGTGTCTGCCTGTCCTGAGATATCCCCCACGCTCACAGGGTCTCCGTCTCAGATCTGGAATGAGTCTAAACCCAGTCACCCATAGGTGCTGCTGCCTCTGGGGGCCGGGATGGTCCTCAGAAAGGGCTTGGGTGAGGTTGGGGGCTCCGGGGCCCCAGATCCAGGGTTTCCTGGAAGGGTGGTGGCCGGCCGGGCTCCTTCCTTGCCCGGTTCCTTCCCAGGAGGGGACAGTCATTTTTCCATCTTGGCTTGCCGGCCCTGTGGGTGTGTGAGCAGCTACCTCTGGGCTCGACTGTCACGCTGCTCTGGGCTTCTTAGGTTTCTGCCACACGCCCCTGGGCACCTCCCAGAAGGACGAGGACTGTGGACACGCACAAGCTGAAGGGGTTCTTCTGGAGACTCCGCTGTTCTTCCACTCTTTCTTTGTTTCTCCTGGGAATGACGGGTGCTCTTCAAGTTTGTGCAAGCTTTGCCAAGCTGAGCCTTGCCAGCCTGTCGGGGGGGGGGGGGGGGGAACGTCAGCCAGCACCCCGCACTGCGCAGAGGAGGCCTCCCCTTGCCCACCCCCGCACCCCCATTTTTTACGGCTGTGTAGGAAACAGCAAGCATGGTAGAGTCTGCAGACATTCGCGAGCGAGTGGGTCTTGCGTCCGCTTGTGTTTGGGTGGGTGCTAAGCTGTCTTGTGGGGGCCGTGTAAGAAGGGTCGTGGCTCTGGAAAAGTGCCGTTTCTCATGGCGGGTGACGGGGGATGCTGGATGCCATGCGGGCACTGACTGTGTGCTGACCCCCCAGCAGATGTCGGAGCCCCTGGGCCCTGCCCTTCCCCTGCGGTGCGGCTCCCTCCTCTCCGGTCTCCCAGGGCCCCTCGCTCCCGCCCCGAACCCCTCTCTCTGCCCCTCGGGTGGAGGAGCGGAGGACAAATCCCGCCCACTCTGAGAGGTCTGCTCTCTTTTATTCTGGGAGTTATTTCTAAAGCTTCATCTGGGGTTTTCACCGAGAGGAAACTCAGTGTCTGAAAAAGGCACTTCTTGGAATAGAAACTCTGTTCGGAGAAAATGATTTCCCCGGAATCTCGGCCCAGTGGACGGTCGCGGCAGCGCTTCGTGGCTGGTCCCCTGGTGTCCATGGGACTGGGGTCGGGCCTGCCCCCTGGCCACTCAGCGCCTCCCAGATTAGCGGGCGGGCCCGCTTTGTTGGTGCCCACACGGGCTCTGTGGGTGGTGGCTGGTCGTGTTGAGAACTGTTCCAGAGAAGTGCATCTTTTTCCTGGCACTCTGTGGTTCCTGTGTCGGTCGTTTTCATTATTAATGATTTGGAGAAGCGCCGACTCCGGGCCGTCCGTGGCGTCGCTGGCCAGAGTCAGGGGCTCTAATCCGACCGTCCCCTACAACTCCCGTCTGCTGTCCCGGGGGCCGCCTCAGCCCACGTCCCCACTGGCGACGTCTCCTGCCTCTCACTGCCGCCAGCCTGTTGGGAGTCTTTGCATGAGTTTCGTGTAGGTGAACGGCCTTTGAAAGGCCCCGTGGCATTCTGCTGCTACTTCTTCAAGGCCGCTTCTCTGCCTTTGCTTTTTAGAGGGGAGGGGTCTACCCTTCACCAGACCCCCTACCTTTCTAGAACAGTCTGTGTGTGTGTGTGTGTGTGTGTGTGTGTGTGTGTTAATTGTGATTTGAATTCCAAGTCTTCGTTGTCCAATGATTTCCATCTTCTTCCTTTTTTAGGCTTCGTGGTTAGAAATCTTGTCTTTAATTGCATTTCAAAGTGGTTAAGTTCCTGTCATTTTCCTTTCCCCCTTCCAAGAGAGAATTTGTCTGACAGAAGGTACACTGCCACCTTTGAACAAGGAAACTTGGGTCGGCAGAAATTGAATTAAGTTCCTGCGCTCCTTCGGGGCTGCCCGCCGAGCTGTTTACCCTGCTGGCGGTGGCCGGGCCTTGCACGGAAGCGTGTTCTGCGGCCGCGTTCCCGGTGCCACCGCGCTGGGGCCTTGGACGGCGTCTCCAGCGTTTGGCCAGCTCCGAAGCGCAGCTTTAAATAGGCCCCATAAATCTCCAGGCGGCCAGCGAGCCTGGATGGCAGTGCGGCGCTGACCCGGCAGCGGGCGTTGGGGGAGGGTGCCCACTCTGGGCTCTGCTCTGGCCACTGCCGCGGCAGGCACGTCTCCGCCCGGCCCCCCAGGACAGCAGTTGGCAGTGAGCGGGTCGGAGCGTGGGGTCGGGAGATGCTTCACTTGTGTGGTCTGACCCTAGTGACGAGAGGAAGCTGACAGTTGTCCCTGACCTATGAAGCAGGAGTGACCGTCTCTGAGTTTACCTCTCGGCTACCTGAGGGAGGAAATCGTCGGCCCTCGTTTGGTCCGGGCTATAGTCTTTGTTGTTTTAAAGCATTACTTTCATTTTATTTTTATTTTTTAATAAGTTTTATTGGGGTCTGGAGTGATAGCACAGTGGGTAGGGCATTTGCCTTGTGCGCGGCCAACTGGGCCGACCCGGGTTCGATTCCTCCGCCCCTCTCAGAGAGCCCGGCAAGCTAACGAGTATTCCGCCCGCTCGGCAAAGCCTGGTAAGCTCCGTGTGGCATATTCGATATGCCAAACACAGTAACAACAGGTTTCACAATGGAGACATTACTGGGCCCGCTTGAGCTGAACAACGGGAGGACAGTGCTACAGTGCTTTATTGGGTCACTGTGAGATGCAGTTACAAACTTTCATGACTACATTTCAGTCACAGTGATCGCGCACCCATCCTTCCACCAGGGCGTATTGTGATCACTGTTGTTTCCAGTATCCCTCCTGCCACCCTCACCCTATCCCAGCCCCTGCCTCTATGGCAGGTACAATCCTTCTTGCTCTCTCTCTCCTTTTGGGCGTTGTGGTCTGCAATACAGATACTGAGAGGCCATCACGTTTGGTCCTTGGTCTACTTCCAGCGCACATCTCCCATCCCGGGCCATCCCTCCAGCCATCACTGTCGTAGTGGTCCCTTCTCCAGCCCAACTGCCTTTCCCCCCAGCAGGTGGGGCCGGCTTCCAACCTGTGGTGTGATCCTCCTGGCCCTTACCTCTGCTGTCCTTAGTGCAGATATTAAAAAGTTAGTCTCCTATTAAAAAGCATTAATTTTATTGTTAGTTTTTTTTTGGCCGCTCCCGGTGGTGCTGAGGGCCCACGCTGACTCTGTCTGTGCTAGGAACTATTCATGTCTGAGCTGGGGAGACCAAAATGCAGTTCCGGGATTTGAACCAGCGGCCACAGCGCCCTGCGAGGCAAGTGCTTTACCCTCTGTGCTATCTCTAGGCCCCCCTCCCCTAAGGTATCGATGTTTCAAAAGTTCCCCCGAGCTAGAAAACACGCCAGTGAGAAGGCGTGTGGCCCCTCTCCTTCCTGCCTGCCTCTCCGGTGGGACCATGTGGGGCCGACACCATCCCTGACCCAGAGGGGCCGCGTGCCTGTGTCTGTGGTATGGGGGTCTCCTTGGCCAGTGGCAGTTTCCGAGACGGGCAGGAAACCACCTTCGAGTCTTGACCTCGGCTCCGGGTCGTGGACGTGGCCCCCTCAGGAGGCCTGGCCCGAGGCTCCCCCTTGTTCCACTGAAGACTTCCTTCCCCAGGAGGAGGCCATGCAAGAGCTTTCTGAGGGGGTCAGACCCTTGGTGCTGGGCTCCCGGAGGGCTGTGGCTGGCCTCCCCCTCTCAGGCTGTCCTTGTGGTGTGAACCTGGGAGCCCAGGGCTGTCTCTCCCCCCGTTTCTCTGACCCGTCACTCATGGTCGCTTGCATTTCAAAGTGAGCCCAGGGTTAGGCTGTTTGGGGAGATTTTTGATTGCCATTTCAATTTCCTCAGTAGCGATGGATGTGTTTGGGTAACCCAGACCATCCTGGCTCAACCTGGGGAAGTTACAGGAATCCAAGACCTCTCCATTTCTTCTCGGTTCCATCATTTTGTGGCCTGATAGATCCTCAACATCATCTCTGATCATCTTTTGAATTTCTGTGGTTCCTGTTGTGATGTTGCCCCTTTCATTTCGGATTCAGTTTATTAGTCTTTTCTCTCTCTTTAATTGTGAGTCTTGCTAGTGATCTATCATTTTTTTTTTTTTTTTTTTAAGAACCAGCTCTTGGTTTCATTGATCTTTTGA